TCCGTTGTCAACGACACAGTGGGGACCATGATGACTTGCGGTTACGATGATCACAACTGTGAGATCGGTTTGATAGTTGGTAGGTCCCGCGTTTTTAGTCGTTTTTATTTCTGCTGTTTCCCCCTCGGTTGCACCCTGCCGTGTTTGATTGTAGCAGGGATGTGGGAGTCACACAGCACGGAAATAGGCCCTTCGGCCCACTTGTCCATGCTGACTGGGTTTCCCCAAACTGAATTAGTCTCGTTTGCCTGCATTTGGCCCATATCCCTCTAAACCTGTCCGATCCGTGTACCTGCCCAGATATCTTTTAAATGTTGTCATTGTACCAGCCTCCACCACTTCCTCTGGCAGCTCTTCCATACACGCACCACCCTCTGTGTGAAAAAGTTGCCCCTCAGGTCCCCTTAACTCTTTCCCCTCTCACCTTAAACCTATGTCCCTCTAATTTTGAACTCCCCTACCCTGGGGAAACGACCTTGGCTATTCACCCTATCCATGCCCCTCATGATTTTATAAACCTCTATAAGGTCACCCCCTCAGCCTCTGATGCTCTAGGTGAAATAGTCCCAGCCTAATCAGCCTCTATTTATAATTAAAACCTTTCAGTCTCAGTAACATCCTGGTAAACCTTTTCTGCACCCTTTTCCAGTTGAATAATATCCTTCCTGTAGCAGGGTGACCAGAACTGGATACAGTACTCCAGAAGAAGGCTCACCGATGTCCTGTACAACCTCAACATGACATCCCAACTCCTATACTCAGTGCCCTGACTGGTGAAGGCAATCATGCCCAATACTGTCTTCACCACCTTATCTACCTGTGACACCACTTTCAAGGAACCATGTACCCGCAACCCCTCGGTCTCTCTGTTTGACAGCACTCCCCAGGGGCCCTGCCATTAACTGTCTAAGTGCTGCCCTGGTTTGGCTTCCCACAATGCAACGCCTCCAGTTCATCTCTCAACTGCCATTCCCTAGCCCATTGGTCCGTCTGATCAAGATCCCGTTGTGATATTAAATAACCTTCTTCACTGCAACAGCCATGTCAGTCACATGACATTGCCTAAGGTAACGGTGCCTGAACCATTCGGCCCCTTTGTGTAGATGCTAGCTCTGTGAAGGAGCATTCCAACTCTGCCCACTCCTCCTCCTGAGCTCGGCTCCTAGCTCCCTCCTGTTTCTCTCCCTCACTTTGTCAGACACAGCGTTCCCAGCTTATTGTAACCTCCTGCCATTTGGAAAGAAATCCTACTCCTCTCTCCCCTTTGGCCATCCCTCACCACCAAAATTCTTAGGGACAGGAAAAGGATGGACTTGTTAGAGATAGTCAGTGTTCTGGGCAGTCTCACAAATCTGATTGAGTTTTTTGAGGAAGTGATGAAGATGATCGCTAAAGCATTTGACAAGGTCCCTCATGGTAGGCTGGTCCAGAAGATTAAGTCACATGGGATCTAACTTTTGGTAAGTTAGATACAGAATTGAATTCATAGAGTCCCTACAGTGTGGGAACAGGCCCTTCGGCCCAACAAGTCCACATCGAACCTCAGAGCATCCCACCCAGACCCATCCCCCTATCACCCACCTAATCTACACCTCCCTGAACACTACAGGCAATTTAGCATGGCCAATCCACCTAACCTGCACATCTTTGGACTGTGGGAGGAAACTGGAGCACCCGGAGGAAACCCACACAGACATGGGGAGAATGTGCAAACTCCACACAGACAGTTGCCTGAGGCTGGAACCGAACCCGGGTCCGTGGCACCGTGAGGCAGTAGTGCTAACCACTGTGCCACTGTGCCGCCCTGTGGTCATAGAAGACAGAGAGTTTTTTTCTGACTGGACGTCTGTGACCAGTGGTGTTCCGCAGGGATCAGTGCTGGGACTGACGTCGTCTGTAATTTACATAAATGGTTGGGATGAAATTGACGGTGGTCTGATTGGTAAGTTTGCAGATGTCATGAGAAATGGCAGAATTGTGGATATTGCAGAAGGTTGTTAAAGGATGCAGCGGGATATAGATCTATTGGGAAGTTGGGCGGAGAAATAGCAGATGGAGTTTAATCCAGACAAGAGTGAGATGATGCATTTTGGGGGGTTAAATGCAAGAGGAGAGCATACAGTAAATGGTAGGACCCTGAACAGCGTTGATATGCAGAGGGATCTTGGGGTTAAAGTCCGTAGCTCCCTAAAGGTGGCAACACAAGGGGATAAGGTGGTAAAGAAGGCGTATGGCACACTTGCCTTCATCGGTCGGGGCATTGAGTATAAGAGTTGGCAAGTCATGTTGCAGCTGTATAAAACTTCAGTGAGGCCACATTTGGAGCACTGTGAGCAGTTCTGGTCACCACACTATAGGAAGGATGTGGAGACTTTGGAAAGGGTGCAGGAGATGTTTACCAGGACGTTGCCTGGATTAGAGTGTATCAGCTATAAGGAGAGGTTAGGCAAACTTGGATTGGCATGTTGGAGGCTGAGAGATGACCTGATAGAAGTCTGTAACATTATGAGAGGTGTGGACAGTCAGTGTCTTTTACCCAGGGTGGAAATGTCAAATACTAGGGGGCATAAGTTTAAGGTGGGAGGGGAAAAGTTTAAAGGATGTGTGCAAGGCAAGCTTTTTTACACAGAGGGTGGTACATACCTGCAACGCCAGGAGACGGGGGTAGAATATTAAGTGAAATGGTTTGGGGTTGTTCTGTAGATCGGTAACTCAGCAACGTTTTTTCATTTGTAGGTACAGGCACCAATGCCTGTTACATGGAAGAGATGCAGTACATTGACCTGGTGGAGGGGGACGAGGGCAGGATGTGCATCAACATGGAGTGGGGAGCCTTCGGAGACTTCGGAGAGCTGGACGACATCCGGACGGAGTTTGACCGAGAGATCGACAGAGGCTCTATCAACCCTGGCAAGCAGCTGTAAGTGGGTGCTGGAGGGAGGTGGCGATGACCGGGCACAGGTGCGTTGCCATTGAGGGCAAAAGAAGCCACCATCCCCCCTACCACCGACTCCCCCACTCCCTGACGATCATCGATTGTCATTTGAATCATCAAATCAACCTCAGTAATGTCCCCTCAGGGAAGGAAAGCTGCCATCCTTACCCAATCTGGGCCTACACGTGACTCCAGACCCATGGCAAATGTGGTTGACTCGTGAAATCAGCTCAAGGGCAGTTAGGGATGGGCACCCGACACCGTGCTTTTCATGTGCCACCCAATAAATTTGTCATATCCCAGCCACAAGGGCATGTAGCTCCCCTTGTTTACACTGACAGCTCCTACCTCATAGTGGTTTAGAGTTGATTACATCATTGGAAATAACCGTGAGGCCACTTACCTACCAACTGTATCCCTCACAATGTGCACAAGACCTTCATAATAGGAGAGAAATCTTCAGTCTGTACTGTTGCAATATAAAGGCTGTGTGTGTTGGTGTCTATGGGAGTATGTCAGAGTTTGCATGTTCAGTGGTGTGTGGGAGTGTGTGTATCTGGCTGTCTTGTGTGTGAGGGTAGTGTGTGTGTGCGCGCGCACACACGCACATGTCTCTGTGCACACTATGTGTGTCTGTGTTTATGTGCATATCCAAATACATATGTGTGTATTTGTGGGTGTGTGTGTATACATACATGGGTGAGTGCATGTGTGTGTGTGTGCTTGTCAGTGTGTGACAGAATCCCTACAGTGTGGAGACAGGCCCTTCAGCCCAATGTGTCCACACCAACCCTCGGAACATCCCACCCAGACCCATTCCCCCTATAGCCTACCTAATCTACACATTCCTGAACACTACGGGGCAATTTAGCATGGCCAATCCACCTAGCCTGCACATCTTTGGACTGTGGGAGGAAACCGGGGCACCCAGAGGAAACCCACACAGACATGGGGAGAATGTGCAAACTCCACACAGACAGTTGCCCTGAGGGTGGAATTGAACCTGTGTTGCTGGCGTTGTGAGGCAGCAGTGCTAACCACTGAGCCACCGTGCCACCCTGTGTGTGAGAGAGATTGTGTGAGAGTGTGTCAGTGAGTGTTTGTGACAGAGTGTGTGTGTGTGTGTGTCAGTGCATTTGAGAAAGTGTGTGTGTGAGAGTACGTGCATGTGTGTGAGAGTGTGTGTGTGTATGTGTGAGAGAGGGTGAGTGTGTGTGTGTGTGTGTGTGTGTGTGAGTGTGTGTGTGTGAGAGAGTGTGTGTGTGTCAGTGCATGTGAGAGAGAGTGTGTGTGTGTGAGAGAGAGTGTGAGAGTGTGCGAAAGAGAGAGTGTGTGTGTGAGAGTATGTGTGTGTGTGAGAGTGTATGTGTGTGAGAGAGAGAGAGTGTGTGCGACAGTGTGTGAGAGAGAGTGCATGAGAGTGTGTGTGTGTGAGTGTACACAGGTCTCAGAGGTGATTCCTCTCAGTTCAATCCTCACCCAAAGATTGGAGCAGGACTAGGCCATTCGGCACCTCAGTAGGAATAGGGCTGATCATCCAATTCAGTCTGCCCATT